TCTGTGATTCTGTGATTCTGTGATTCTGTGATTCTGTGATTCTGTGATTCTGTGATTCTGTGATTCTGTGATTCTGTGATTCTGTGATTCTGTGAAATGGTTTTCTATGTTTTGTACAATATTATGGAAAAGAGGTCAAATTATTATAAATTGTGTCATTGGAAGGAAAACATGATCCTTGTTTAAGATGCCTCCTGCAATATTTGAGAGCTGTTTCTGTTCCTGCTTTGTAGGAAAGTCATTTCTATCACTACCACCCATGTGTGTCCTCAGTGTCCGTCTAAATAAGGTTTTCCCTCTGAGCAGGGCCCTACCTTCACCTTTCTCTTTATTCCCTCTTGTTCTCCTCTTACAGCTTTTCAGTGTATTTTTTTCAATCAAACTGATGGAAAGTGAAAGTTGATGGAAAAGAGTGATTTGGAGATCTTCCAAACCCACCTGGATACCACCCAGAGACCCGTGCTCTGGGTGTCCCTGCTGGAGCGGGGGGGTTGGACTAGGCAGTCTCTAGAGGTCCCTTCCAACCTCAACTGTTCTGGGATTCTGTGAAACTTTACATCTACTTATTATTATTTGCATCTGCAATGCAATAATTCATAAAGCAGTTACTGCGTTCCAAATCAGTGAGGGGAACGTTGCCATCACAGTCTTCCAGTGTGTATCTACATGCCACTGGAAAGCTTGTGAACTCATCAAGAGCACCTATGGTACCCTGACATGCCAGATATAGGCCCAGATACCATCTGCATCCACTGCTAATTATTCCCTGTCCTTCTTGTGTTTTTTTTTTTTTTTTCCCCTAATTCGTCCCCAGTTCTGTTCAGGAACTCCTTCCTATCTCTGCCTGCTTTAACTTCATTGATGCCTTTGCAGTATTCCTTTGTATTTTATTACACTGTTAATACCTGCTCAAATGCTAATTCTGATGGCTAACCCTTCTGGGTCTCGGAAGAACTGTCACCTCAGCAGCTCTAGAAGCGGAGCAACACCTATAAATTAGAGGTGTTGGCAAGAGAATGTTGTTTTTAAGTTTCCTGCACAGGGCTGGACAAACAAACAGGCATCCTACCTCCGCTCTTCCTGGAATAGGTGTGATTAATGACAGCATGAGTCAAGTCCTAATCTGGGTATTAGGACATAGGATCTAGTATCTCTCATAGTATCTGTTATCTGGATGAGACAAGTGATCCCTTTTTACCAAGCAAGATGAATGTGGAGGGGGAAAAGCCTCCCAAATTTAAGTCTGTTGAGCTCACCTGTATTGTTTGTTCAGTCTATGGTTGAGAATCTACTGGAGCAAATTAATGGCTCCCTCCTGCCTGCACATCCCCACTTAGGGGGAAGCTGAGTCACACAGACCCTGGTGTGCACCCACCTCTGCCCTCTGCGGTGATGCTCCTGTTCTCCTGTCTCCCAGTATGATTCTCTGCATACTGAGAATAAGGACAGGCAAGTGCAGGGCCCTTTCTCTGCAGGACAGGTGCAGAGAAAGACTCTTCAGCAATTTCAGGAAAAAAAGGGGTCTTTGAACAAGCAAGGGGTGCTGTGTAAACAGGTTTCATTGATATCTTTCTTCATAAACAATGAGCATTTGATTGCTTCTTTTTGAGGTGCAGTAGTTTGCAATTAGGAGGGATGAAAAATGCTTATTATCTAACAAACTTTAATTGTAGCGTAATTAGGCACTCCTAAAGCAACTCCTGCCTTTTTACGCAATCTGACATATACTTAGTATTTCATATCTTGTTTTATGAACTTCAGTTTTTGAACTCAGTTCATTGCAGGTATATAATAAATACAGAGGTAAATACAGAGAATATTTTACGAAATTATTATTCCATTTCAAAATAATGATAAATGTAATTTCCTCAAGAAAATGATTATTTTTAGATATGGTACTAACTTTTAGTATAACTATAATAAAATCTATTTGAACTTAATAGAAGTATCATTACATTTAAGTGGGCTTAATCTGTGTGCTTTTTAAGAAAATAACTAAAATTATATTGAAAGTATTGTATGGATAAAAGTAATACTTTTAATCTAGCTGCATGAATGGCATCCCTAAAATTTTTCAGGGTACCACTCAGTTTTTCTTCTCTACCAAGTAGCAAAATAGTACAGTTAGCAGTATTAAGAGAAGCAAACAATATTGAAACACGATTTAGTGATGAAGTCAAATACTTCTTCAAAAAGTGGCTGTGTAAATAGACCTTCTGTCTACATCTAATAATTGGTAATCTGCACTCATTCTTATCTGTCCCAGTGTGATGATGGTAAGGCAGCAACCAAAGCCAAGGAAGTTCTTCCTCACATGGAGATGGAACTTCCTGTGTTTTGACTTGTACCCATTGCCCCTTGTCCTGTCACTGGCCACCACTGAGAAGAGTTTGGCCTAACGAGCACCAGGTGACACCAGGAGCAGTGGTTCCCAGTTAGCACTCAGTTCATACAGGGTGATTGGTGCCTTGCAGCAGTGGAGATGGAGCAGAAGCAGCCTCCTCATCTTTCCTTTTGACTGTTGACATGAGGTCCATGGTGTGTAGAAGCTGCGACTGTGTTCCTACTCCTCTCCTTTCACCCTCAACCTGACCTCCCTGTAAACAGCACATAGAAAGGGGCTGCATGGGCACATGCCAGCTAAGATCTGTCTAGCATGCACATTCTAACCAAGTCATTGATCAGTTTGTCTCCCCCTAAATAAATAGAGGTCAGTCCCCAGAGCACTTTGAGCTTTCCTGCATGGCATCAGACTGCTCTGCAGAATCTCATCTTGAACAGGGATACATCTCAAGGATACTCCCTGAGGCTGAGAGATTTCTTTTGTCCAATAGATCCTTGGTAAGTGATTAATACCAGGCTAAAACTGTACAAACCTTTGGGAAACTCTGCTAAGTTTCAGTTCTGTGCACATAAATCCTTTTAGACATAAACCGTGGACCAAGTGTGGGATGAGGATTGGGCCCAGTTGCACCCAGACTCCTCTAGGAAGGAGTTTGGAAAGTAAAAGCTAAGTCACTATGTGTCATCAATAAAACATTGCTATTTTGTGCCTCACTCACCCACAGCAAATGGTAAAAAATAAAGTTTTCCCACCTCTTTATTCAGATACAGCGTGGAAGGATCTCATACGATCTTACCTCTTTTGTAGCTCAGGACAGTATTTTACTTATTTCCTTTTGCCCTCAAAGCAGCCTGCTGCCAAGGTGTAAACACAGAGCCAGTCAGAAAGTTTTCTAACTAGTCTGCATAGATCTGTTAAGCTAGAATTCCTTAACATAATTCATATGCCTTAATATCATACAGTTTGTTCACTAATATTCCAATCAAATAAAACATACTCTTATCAAGGCCTTTTCTGAACTAGGCTGTAGAGCTGCAACTTAGTTGGTGCTTGCAAATTAGATTGCCAGCGGTATCATGTTCTTGAGGGAGAAAGCACTTTCTGCTGCAGTTTCTGTCACCCAGTAGTTCCAGCAATTTTACTTTTTTTCTTCAATTATTAATTTTTAGGATGGATCTTGGTATTTAGAGAGTAGCATGTGCAAAAGAAAATACCAAAAAAAAAAAAAGCGCCTCATCTTGCATTGTGGATTCCAGCAACTATGTGCAGTGTCTGAAATCACTGAATCAGTCAAGTGTTTGGTCTGTTTGGAGGTCTTTCAGGATTGTGGGGATTAATTTATTAGACCGGCTGTTTTGACGACTAAATGATATAGAAGAGCAGTTTTAGTTCCTGTGATCATGGCTAGTACAGAATGTTGTTGGGGTTTTCTTAAAAACAAGCAGTAGGTTGATGACCACCCCACAGGCTGCCTATGAGAACACGCTTCCCTTTTTGCAATCCTCACTTTCACTGCTCAACTTCTCGTTTTTTTTAAGGGTAGTGGCGGTGATAGGACTTTATGAGACCCTACTAACCCACCAGTTTGTACGATTAGGTTGTATTCAGGTCGTTCAGTTCTTGCACAGTTTAGTGCTGTTTTAAGATGACTTCACAGCCCAGGTGATATTTATTGTGTACTGCCAACTTCTCCATGTTGCTAATGTCACCAATCACCTATTCAAAGGAAGTGAAATATGAGCAGAAACTAATTTCGTTCTCTCCAAAAGAATGTCAACCTAAGCATACATTTTCTTGGGGCACTATTTTACTTCTACCCAATACAAGTGAGATCACAGCTGAGAAGCGACTGAAATTGTTATCTTTGTTCTGTGGATTGCATAATAGGAGCAGTGTTCACACTGATCCTCCTCTTGTCAGGCTGGCAAATCTGTGCATACACAAGTCTGGGCAGATTTGGCAATCCTTTATTTACTCAGAAGCGTAAAACTCTGAGCATTCAGGTTCTGCCACAGGTTTTATAGATTGGGTTTAGGACACAGAAGAGGGAGTTGAGGCAGTAAGGCAGAAACTCATCTGTGATCTTGGAAAAGGAAAACCTTTTCCCTCTGTCTTTGTGGAACATTATTAAAGGCATGTGATGCAAGCTCAGTATGCAGCAAGCCCAAGCCTAACTTCTGGAAGCACGTGCTAATGTTGCCTGTGCTGGTCTGGATCCCCTGTGTGTCTCATTGTTCCCTTGGTTGTGCAAAAGTTGTCTGAAAGAGGAAATTAAATATGTTCTGTCATTAGGAATCAGAGCAGCTGATCCCTTCAGTTTTGTTTAGAACACAGTTGTATTCAATTTCCTGCACAGAATGGAGAGGAGTATGCAAACCTGTCTGCAAGTCTAGCAAGAATCACGTTCCATACAGCACCATTCTAGAAAGAGACCTGTTAATTGCTGCGAGTTTCCTGTCAGAAGGGCTCAGTGTGGGATTATGATTGTGCATAATGTCACTACAGTTGCTAATGCTGCTTCTATTAATACAGCTTTGGGATAATATGTTGCCTAATATGTAATATAAAATATCTGGTTGCAGGTTGTTTTCTGCTGAAGCCCTTCAACTCAGTATATTGAAGCTACTATTTTAAATATTTTGTTTCAGGTTTTCTAGGGTGGTTAATTGGCATGGCAATCAATATTCATTCTGATCATATCCTCAGAAATCTGAGAAAACCAGGGGAAACTGGTTATGCAATACCAAGAGGTGAGTAAAAAAAATATTACAGAAACGTATAATAAGAGAAGACCTTCTAAAGCTTTATATATTCTTGGGGGATGATACAGTAGCATAGGCTTAGATTAGAAATTTCATAATGTAGAAGTCATCTACATGAAGAAGTAATCTGACAGTTTGGGAAATGTTTTTCTCTTAGCCAAGTATTGGAAGGAGTCAGTTGCATGCATCGTGTGGTTTGCACAAACCTTTGCATTTCTTGGCCAATTTTGATTCTATTTTAAAAAGTGGTACAAATCTAACACAGCCTTCCAGCACTTTCTGGAGACTCGGCAGGTGGGTAGAGGGAAGAAAATAAAGACATAAATTAGCATCCCGCTGTGGGGAAGGACAAAAGGTTCTCAGATACTTAATTGGTTGCGTGCACCATGGCAGTTGCTCCATATCTGAAGAGGGGTGGATCTCAAGGAATTAGAACAAGCAAGGATTACGGTGGTGAGGAAATAGGACAGAAATCCAAAGGAAGTTCGGCTTTGTTAGTTTTGTTCTTCATGGGATGGTACAGAATATGGAAGGACTTGTGAAGATTAATGAATGGTGAATGTTTATTGACACTCTTGGAAGCATTAGACCATTCCAGGCATTTTCCACTCTGAGAGAGTAGGAAATAAGTTCCTTCTGAATTCTGCAGTTTCTGCAAGTTTGGTTTGTTTTTTTAATAGATATAAATATTGTTTATGTATAATTGTTTTAGACATATACAACCGGTGTTATTCACTTATTTCACCGGTGTTATTGAATGGCAAGATTGAAGCAGTTAAGATAAGCTTTCCTTAGACCCAACTAGAGCTAGAGATAGGAACAAAAGATGCATCTTAAAAAACAAAACAAAACAAAAACTTAGAGAATAAATTTGCCTGAGTAAAAAATGTATGGCTACTTCAATTCATAATAATAATAATGTTGTGTTTATTGTTAACTTAGTTTCTGAAGTAGTTTGGTAGAATAAAGAAATTAAATGCTATATCATAACTAATGCCATGTGTACTTTACATTTTAAAAAGTTTGAGTTTGTGATCAAAGAGCCAGTTTAGTATTATTGTACAGTAATTATCTATAAAGGCATGAAATTGTTTCTGATACTCCTGTATCTGCTTTTCTCTGTCATGATTAAAGAGGAAAATTGGAGCTGGAGAAGATCTGTGTTCTAGAATGAGATCAAGTAATCTTTCAAATTAAACTGAAAAATACTGCATTCTCTACCTTTAACAATTATGTTAACTGAAAAATGGATTGCTGTGCTACCTGTAAGAGAGATTATTGAAGCTCTGCTTGATTGAGGTGCTCTTAGAATAATTTTATCCTTCTTTTTAGGAGGAATGTTTGAATATGTCAGCGGAGCAAACTTTTTTGGAGAGGTTGTGGAATGGTTTGGGTTTGCCCTTGCCTGTTGCACCGTTCACAGCCTTGCATTTGCAGTGTGCACCCTCTTCATCTTGGGTTCACGGGCGAAACAGCACCACCAGTAAGTGTTTGTGTCCTAAGATTTCTACTATCTCTATGCCACGCTTTATTGCCATTTTAAAAATTATGCCTTATCCTGTAGGGATGTTGCAGAACAAGTCTTGCGAAAGACTTGGCTACTGCAATCTTGGATAACACAGAATATTCCCTGAGCAGTATTAAACTGAACAAGATTTCACCGTAGCAATATTAGGGATAAGGAGAATGAGCACACAAGGTACAGTGAGGTCAAAATGATGACATATCATTAAAGATGGCCTAAAAAGATAATAGACTCATTTAGGAAACTTTCGTTCCTTCAGCATGTACTCTAGAGCTCTTTCCTTTTTTTGCTTGAACTAGTTTATAATCTATAAAGTGTATAGAAAAAAAAATGTTAATAATTATACTGCTTAGTATATGGTGTTTAGCAGTCTCTATTCAGTAAATAAACCATCGGACTGATAATGGACTGTAATCACATGCTGACTTTGATCAAGTTTGAGGGAAAACCTGTTTCTTGGAAGAGTGCTCTTTAAGGAGTAGCACATTTAAGATGATTTGAATACCTTAATCGTCCAGTTTAAGTGTTAATCATTTTGTTATTTTCAGCTTCCTGCTTTGTTTCTCACTAGGCAACTCAACTGCATAAGAAATAAACTTCAATTTAAGGAGGAAATAGACTGGAAATAGTATGAGGAAACAGACAAAAATGAATTAGATCAGCTGGGGCTTTCTCTAACAGAATGTTGCAAAGAGCCTCTGGAGATGGAGATTTTCCTTCACCTTGCACCTGAGATGATCTCGTTCTCCATTGCCCTCTCCATGAGATACTTTTTCCTAATACCCAACCTGAGCCTTCCAAGCTGTCCCGTGTGACTGTTGTTTTATTATTTTATTTTATTTTTATTTATCTCAACGTTTCTCTGAGCAGCCTCATCCACTGCTTTCCCATCCTCAAGAGGAAGAATTCTGTCCTTATGTCCAACTGGAATTTTCCTTGACGCAGCTGTTGCCTCTGCTGCTTGTAGAGGCCAACGTTTCTTGTGTGCCTCCAAGAAGAGTCTGCTTCTGTCTTCTCTCTAATTTACTTGCAGATACTAGAAAGCTGCAATTAGGTTCCACCTTAACCTTCTCTTCTCCAAGCTGAACAAACCCATTTCACTCAGCCTTTCTTCATATATCATATATCCAGCTACCTAACCACTTCAGTAACTGTCTGCTGGACGCTAGTTGACAGAGTAGGAGCCCTAAACTGGATATAGTGTTCCTGATGGAACCTCTCAAGGGAGGTGTCCACAGGGAGGATCCACAGGGCTTCCCTTGCACGTTACCATTCAGACAGGGCACAAGCCCTTGTTCTAGATTGAAAGGGAAAATCTGCAGAACCCCAAAAGAGGGGCTTTAGGTTTATGGTCAATCATTGTTTCTTCTGTGCTTATCGAGCCGTCAATATGACTGCCAATAAGAATACTTGCATCTTAGTAGAGATGAGGTGAAAATAGTTCCTATTTTCCATGTTAGAACAGGAAATACTTGAAGATAACAAGAGAAGTATATGTCAAACAAGCTGATCAGAAAAAAAAGTTGCAATTGGGAGTGCTACAAATGTGCTCTTTTGAAAGAGGCTGGATTTGAAAAGAGTGAAGATCTTTCAGGGGAAGTAGCAGTAGGACTAGTCTAGTATCTGACTAGATTGTACATGTCCTGACTGGAAAGGGGTTTATTCCAATCCAGAACAGGGCTGTTGCTCCAGTATCTAAAGTGTCTCTTGCTGCCACATGTAGTTGCTAAAAAAATTCACTACGTGTTACCCTCTTGGCAATTGTTTTTTCCTTCTGCTTCTAAAATAGGATATATTGCATTATACATTTTACAACAGCAGGCCATTCCTTCCCTGGCTGCTCTCTCCACATTTATTATTTCACATTTACATTGTATTTACACTATATTTACATTATTATGACTTCCCATTGCTGGCAGCAGTAGCTTTAATGGAGAACAGATTTCATCAGAGTGAGCGAACCAACCAGAGTAGGTTCTAAAGACTTTTTTTCTTGTTTTAGAGCTGAAGAAATAGAGCAAATAATTTGAAAGCATTTTACAATTACTTTAATTTCCTTGATGGCATTTCGAAGGTACAATACTAATGGTATTTCTCTCTCTGTTTTTCAGATGGTATCTTGAGAAATTTGAAGACTACCCAAAGTCGAGAAAAATTTTGATTCCATTTGTGTATTGAGCTGTGCATGAACTACGATCTCTTGCTGGTGGTAACAGAGTCTTTGAAATGTCTCCTTTCTGCAGCATCCAGCCCTGTACAAGTATAAGGCACCTAATAGTCTCTCATCATCAGTGCTGCTATTATTAGTGCATTAATGCTACTATTATTCTTTTTTTCCTCTTAAAAAAATAACAAAGAAAAAGAAACCCCCAAATATCTTGGGCACAGCGATAGGAATATAAACGTTTTTCTACCATTGTAATTCACCATCATAAATACATTAGCTGTGTATCAGATACATTAGTGTATCTGGATTCACATCATAGGAACTACCATACTGTACAGGGCTTCTGTTGCTTTCTTTTCTGCCCCTACAGCCTTCCGTAATTTCTGTCTGGTCTAGGCACGCTGTCCTGAGGATGGTGCCATGAGGCCAGTCACCAGTATTATGCATTTTGGATAGGGGTTTTGTGTGCTGTTTCACCTGTGTGCACAAATGAGGTTGATTTGTTTTGCCTTCTGAATCCCTCCTCTGCTCCCCCCCAAACTTCTGTGAGGTCCCAATGCAGGGAAGGATGAACAAAATCGCTCTTAAGTGACTGACTACCTGTTAGTCTTGCTCTTTGCACTCTGATGCAGGCAGGGACACTTTATAGATGAAAACTAATGCCATATAGACAGCCTAAGAGGTATCCTACCCAAATAATAGATTAAGTTTTAATCATATTTTTTTTCAAAGTTTAGCTATTTCTGATAAGATTCAAAATGTCACCCAACTTGGTCACTCTGCACTTTGGGAGAACATTTTATTCATTTTATTTGGGTTACTTAGGCCAGTTTAGCATTGTTAACAATTCTGTGTAACATTTTCTACCCTTATGCAAAATCTTAAGATTTTTATAGAACCCTTATTATGCTGCTTAAAAAAAAAAACAACTGTGTCTTCCTTTTACTGTTGAAAATATCTAAGTGTTTTGTGTTCTAAAAAGATTGGAATCTTTTAGTATTTATTTCTTACTTTTTTAATAGGAATTCTTGCTCCTCCTCCTTTTATGTGAAAGACCCCAGAGGGGTTTCAAAACCATGGTAGTAACCCAATTATATGTATATATTTGGACACATCTGTGTTCTTTGTATCCTTGTGATGTTAAAAAAAAATCAGAATTTCTAAAGAATCTGAAGAATTGTATGGAAACTTGAAAGAAAATGCTGCTGATGGAGATCTGTGGGAATCAAGCTTTTGCTGAGTGTTTTCCGATGTGTTTACATGGTGTATTTTGGATTGTGTTCTTCAAAACAAACTTAATATAATTTTGCCAGATGTTGACTTTTCCAGTATGGTGTTGGATTAAGCTTTGTCCAAAGCTCAAAGTTCTGCCTTTGATATTGATTTCCACCGCTGTAATAGTCCGAGTAATATATCTGAGGGAAGAACTGGTACCTTTCATGTTTTAGATCATTATTATTTAGACAATAATTTAGATAATAAAAAAAATACACGCAGTGCATTCCAGAATTGGGCTCTGACAGAATGTACTACACTTAATGATTTCTCCTCCTTCCTGCCATGTTCATACAGTATTTACTGCACTGAAGTCCTGGCCATGGGTAATTGATGTTAAAAGAAGTGCAGTAAAACTTCTGTTGTTACTCACAAAAATGGTCCTGTGAGACCATGGGGAGAAGCAGGGAGGAGCTGTCGGGCTTGCAGGGGTGACAGCCGAGCCAGCGCGAGAGCCACCAGCCGCTCTGGTGATGAAGCTGGTGCTGCTGTTTGGTTGGGAGGAGACTGTGCTCTCAGCCTCCCCCCTGCTGAGGGAGATCCTGGGAAAACCCACCCACCTGGAGATCCAGGTGTCCATTGCTGCACTGCTGGACTCAGCTTATTTACGCCTCTCAGACTGTGGTGTTTACAAATTTCCTTGGGAAGTCTGAGGCTTCCTCTGTTTGTATCACGACACTATGATTGGACCTTTGCTCGTAGCTGTTCCAGTGGATACTCACTCATCAAGTTCCTCACTCATCAAGGGATGGTGAAGCGGATGATCTAATGATACCTAATTTAGGGGTTTAAATAGTCTATTGTTAATTGATAAGCACATATTACCTTTAATATATTATCTTTGTGGATTACTTGTTAAAACAAGCGCTAAAGGGACAAGCAACGGGTAAAAAAATATCTGGCTACTGCAATTTAATCTCTCATCCCCATGTTATTGTTATTTTGCACAGTGTTTTATGAAAAGGCAAAAACTCTTTTAGTAGTAAAGTACTGAGAGAAATGGTTGTGTATTCAGTTCCTGAATTAGGGATAGACTTTCAGCGACTGCAAATACCTAATCTAATACCACTCAGTACACACACACACACACACACACACACACACACACACACACACACACACACACAAAAAGGCCTATCTGAGAGTGAGGCAGTGAATTATTTAATGCCCATTTGAGTATAGAACTTGCAACAAATAAGGTACTGGAATAGCAGTCAAACTACTACCACTAACTGCTATTATTACTCTCTTAGTGAATCTTCTTGCTCACCTTTCTTCTGCAATAACAACACAGTAATGTGCTGGATGGATTTTACTTCTTGGTATGAATGAATAAAAGAGGAAAAGATACTACACAGGCATATACATGTATACCACAGCAATAACATGTACAATTTGTCTTTGTTCTTTCTGCAACATGGATGGACAAAAATTCTGTAGGCAATATGTACTAGGAGTCAAAAAATGTGTATGTAAACACATTTTTTATGATGAATACCTGTATATAATCTTTCATGTTTAGTAATGTTAAAGATGCCTTACCTGCCTAACTTTATCTATTATGAAGTCAAGTAGAAATCCTTGAGAATAAAAATGCTTTCATTTTCCTTTTGTTATTATATGGTACATATATTGATTCAAAAATAATGTAATTGTGTGTGTGGTTATAGGAAAGTAGTTTTGTAAAAGGAAAAATAGATCATTTCTATTTTTCATAGAGCTATCATAGATCTATCTATAGATCTATGATCGTATGATCCAAGATACGATTTTCTGATCTATGATCAGAGAAATTCTGCTGACTTGTTTTTATCTCAGAATGATATGAAATATTTCCTTAGATTCAAGGAATGTGTGACTACATTCAGTTGTGTATAACTGTATCAAAGTTTACAGAAAAATCTGTACTGATATCTTAATTCTGCTCTTGTTCTATGCTGCTAAATATCTTGAGTAAAAAGTTGGCTATTCTTGTCTGCAACTTTAACTTCCGGTTTATGTGCAACAGGATGGGATATGTGGAAAACACTGAGAGAAGAAAAAAATTGTTTTGGTAATTATGTATTCTCACTGTATTATACTGCAGAAAGCTTTCACAGGTAAAATGCAGAATTTACTTGGATAGTTAATTCTGGTGTTTAAAGACTAAGCTATACTGGTGAAGGGTATAGAATTAACTTGGTCAAATCCTATGTACTTTTTACAGGGCATCCCCATTTATTTATCATAGTTTACCATTGGGTTTGACCGAGTTTATTTGTCAGAAATCATGTGATACTGACTTAAATGCACACAGTATGAAAATGAACTTTGTAGGCTGCCTTTTCCAGAAGAAAAAGTCTCCTTTCTATCGAGTAGTAATAGCTGTAGCTATTTAAGGAAAGATAACTTCTTTTCAGAGCACTTATTATCTTAGCCAAAGTTGTTCTTCTACTAAAAGATGTTTTGTGGTGTACATTGCTTGAGTACTGTTTTTTCTCATAGTAATCATATATAAGTATAACCTGTGGAGGTTGGCCAAGACTTCTGTACCAGTAATTCCAGTCTCCCAAATGAAGTCTCATGAACTTTAGTAGCTAGGTTATATTAGAATACCCATAGGCATATAGGAACTTGATGAGATGCATTCGTAAAGGTTATTAAATGTCGCAAGATAAATTTAGTTTGTCTAATGATACATTCTTAATTACATAGAAGACATACTCTGCAATTACCTGTAGATTAAAGAATAACAGCAGCAAAGTGGGAGTAATACTCTTTTGGATTCCCTCCTGCTGTTAGTTCAGGTGAACTTTTCATTTTACGCAACTACACAACCTGGCATTTCAACTGTTTTAATTACATTTCAGTAGCATATAATTTAGAGAAATGAAGAAAACATACCAATGACTTGTCATATAAAGTTTCAATCTTTCAGCAGTCAAGAAATCCTGACTACCTTTCACAATTTATAGCCTGTTTTGGAAAAACACCCCTAAAATTTTTGATTATTGTAGTATGAGAATGTACCAGCCTCTTCTGTACTATTAATTTTTATCAGTAATAGTTTCTCTTGGCCAAACTGTCTTTCACGCATTCATCAGTCCATTTTGTCAGACAAATAAACCTTTTCTGGATAAATCTGCTCCACTTTTTGCAGTGATGCAAATTCATGTTCACACATGCATACCCAGAACACATGGAAGCAAGCAATTTTGGAAGGTTGCACTAGAAGACAAATGAAAATTGAAATAAAAAGTTTTGCAGTCTGTTGTAGTTAACTACCTCTAAAGGGTCCCTAAAAATTGTTCCTGTGACATCCTAGACTTGGACATCATGTTTAGATCCATGGTTCAGACTGGTAATGAGGAGAGTGTTAGGGACCATGTAGCAGCAGACTGTCTGATGCTTGCAGACCTGCACACAATTTGCCATTGCCTGCTAGCATATTCTCAGTAAATGCTACCAAGAAGATGCACTTGAATCTTCTAAGTTATTTCTGTGAAGAGGTGTCATCTGATGTGCTGAGTTGGAAGACCCAATGCTGTTCTGCAGGGGTCTGTTTGTACTGTGTAAGCGATCAGAATGGACGCATGCAAGACGCAGTCCCCCAAAATCTCATGAGACAAAAATAATGTTCTCTTCAAATAGAAGTCTCTAATTAATCATACCAAGATAGTACTCTTATGTACTTCATCTTGTTACTAATTCATACATTTTATAAGTTCACCTTTTTTTTTTTTTTTTTTTTTTTATATGAACAGGTCATTTCTGGATTTAAAAACTTGATTAAAACCAAAAGTTTTCATTTAAAATGGCCCTATGGTTCCCATAGTTTTCCACTTATACCTCCCTTGCTCACTGAGGCCCAGTCATTAGATGCCATGTGGCTTTTGGTGGTGGACATTTTTCCCTCTGACTTCTCTGTAGATTATTCCCTGCAGCTCTCTATGTTGTTGATTCATTATTACCATTAAATTCTCATTTAGAAGTATCTATTTTTCCCTTATTTCAGTCTCTTTGCTGTAATGCTGCAAATAATTCATATATGCTCTTATGAAACACTCCATTTTTTTTTAAGAATGATTATTTGCTCTTGATTAGGCAAAGGTTTATGCAAATTTATTTTATAAAATTACAGAGTAAAACTGCATTGTGCATCTGGGCAAAAGTGTTTTCTCAATTTAAACAGTTTTCTCAAACTGAAACTGTTTGCAGATGATAGATATTCTAAACGTCAACTGATAATATCCTGTAATTGCCACTTTTAACAGGTTTGCTACCAAAACACAGTAGAAGTGCAGTAGTAATATATTTCCTGATCATTCATACTAGGTGAATTACCATGACAACAGCTTGTCAGGGCAATTAATTTCAGCTGACAGCAGGCAAAACAGGTAACTCCTTTGCAAATGTAACCCAATCTGCTATTGTGGCTAAAATCTGAGATAATTAGCAAGCATCCACAGTTCCTCTTCCGTATTTCTGAAAGCTGGCAATGTTTCAAAGTAAATCTGTCAGTCTGCATTGGCTTTGATGTATTGCAATAGAACTCTTCTGATTTTCTGGAATGTTCCCCTTTCTGATTCCAATGCAGACTAGATATACCAAGCAATGTACAAATGGTACAAAAATGCATACATGATTTTGTACCATGTATGGTGCAAAAGATATGTACCAAGTAATGATATATCTTTTGGTATTTTGTCTCTGTGTTAACACTGGGTTATCTGGTACTGTTTAACACGTACTGATTATCTAACTTCTTGCTACATGTAGAATCAGGTCAGGTACTTCTGACTTGTCTTACTGTGGCTCTGTATAGACGTGGATTTGCTGGGACAACACAGAGCACTAGAGCTTCCAGTTTTTACTGAATGCTGCTTACAGCAGAAATCGCAAGCCACAGAATCAGTTGGAAAGGCTGTTCCCTCCTCTAGTTCAGGGTGTGTTTCTCCCAGCTACAGAAGTAAAGGGCTGCAGTGAGTGACTGAAACTACGAGCAGCCATGTTACATACAGCGTTTTACCGGCGTCCCGGGAGCTCTTGTACCTTCGTATGTTCCCACCTTCCCCTCAAGGCCAGGGCTAGTGTTGGAGGCTTCCCTGTAGCTCGTTCTGTGCCACAATCATACAGGGAAATGCAAATGAACTAGCATGTGCCAGCAGTAACAACAGGCAACATGAAGGACTAATAAGGCCTATAAAGCTCATACTTCCAAAGGGCTGAAGGTAAGTGGGAAATGAAGGCAATTTTGATACACAGAATCATGGAATGGTTGAGGTTGGACCTCTGAAGATAAAGTCCAACACCATTGCTCAAGCAGGGTAACCTGTATGCTGCACAGCATTGCCTCCATGAGCTTGCTTAGTATCTCCTGCCCAGAGCTGAGGAGAGGGGCAGGATCCCCTCCCTTTCCCTGCTGGCAACACTCCTCCTGATGCAGCCAGGATCCCACTGGCCTCCTTGGCCAAGAGGGCACACTGCAGGCTCACAGTCAGTCTGTAGTCCACCATGATGCCCATCCCTCCTCTGAAGAGCTGCTTTCCAGCAGGTGAGCCCCCAGCCTATCCTGATGAGTGGAGTTGTTCCTCCTTAGGGGCAGGAATGTTGTTGGACTTCATTTGGTTCCCCTCCACTCAGTTTCCCAGCCTGCCCAAGTCCGTCTGAATAGCAGTACTGTCCTCTGGGGTATGAGCCACTCCGCCCAGTTTTATATCATCGGGGTAGGGGTCCTGTTGGTGAAGGAAGCAGAGAAGGCAGAGGTGCTGAAAGCTGCCTTTGCTTCAG